ACTCAGGAGGCTGAGGCAGGAGAATTGCCTGAATCCAGGAGGCGGAGGTTGCGGTGAGCCGAGATCGCGCCATTGCACTCCAGCCTGGGTAACAAGAGCGAAACTCCGACTCAAAAAAAAAAAAAAGAAGTCTTAAGGGTCTTTACAACATACACATGTTCTGTAGTGACCCAATAATCACATGTATATATGTTAGTGCACTGCTGAAATAACATGTTAAAAATAATAGTTACCTTCATTGTATGTGTTCTGATACTCTTCTGTTCAATTCTGTATTTAGTTACCCTTTTTGTATCTGGGTGTTCTCATGTTACAAATGTATCCCATAAACGTTGTTACAATTAGTAAATGAGTTAAATACTTAGTAACTGCCAGATAAGTAGATGGCCAAGCACAGTAGTCTAAGCTGGTGATGATTCATGATAAGGATGGTACTGAATACTTACCAAGTTGATTCTATGAGTATTAATGCGTGAACACCTACACTTGCATAAAATATTATCTCTTCTGAGAAAAACCAAAGGCTGTTTTGAGAACAATGAGGTCAAAGTTTCTCATATTATCCTTTTTTTAATTTTGTTTTTTGTTCTGTTGTTTTGTTTTTTGAAACAGGGTCTTGCTCTCACCCAGGATGGAGTGCAGTGATATGATCTTGACTCACTGCAACCTCTGACTTCTGGGCACAAGCTATTCTCCCACCCCAGCCTCCTGAGTGGCTGGGACCACAGGCACACGCCACCATGCCCAGCTTTTTTTTTTTATTTTTGGAGAGTTGGGGTTTCGCCACGTTGCCCAGGCTGTTTTCAGACTCCAGGACTCAAACGATCAGCCCGCCTTGGCCTCCCAAAGTGCTTGGATTACAGGTGTGAGTCACCACGCCCTGCCTGTTGTCCATATTTCTATATGGGCATATCTTTGAAAATAATTGGAACATTTATGCCACTTACCAGTTTTGCATCTCAGGAAAGTCAGACACAAGAATTATGTCCTTTTTTCGGGGGTTTTGGTTTGTTTGCTTTGTGTTTTTGAGACAGAGTTTCCCTATGTCACCCAAGCTGGGGCACAGTGGTGTGACCTTGGCTCACAGCAACCCTGGCCTCCTGAGTTCAAGTTGCTCTCCTGCTTCAGCCTCCTGAGTAGCTGGGACTACAGGCACATGCTACCACACTTGGCTAATTTTTTTTTTTTTTTTTTTTAAGACGGTGTTTCACTATGTTGGTCAGGCTGATCGAGAACTCCTGACCTCAAATGAGCTTACTTGGGTGATTAACAGACTATTGTAATTCAGTACATAGAATGTTTTGAAAAGACATAGTATTCATTTCCACATAACTGGAACTACTCACTATCCTCTAAATAAATAATGCCTCATGTAATCATAACTGAAAAGTTAATTGGGAGTATATTTGCTGCATATCTCCAGGAGAGGATGCACTACCCAGCCAGCAAGAGTACTGCTCAGTACATACCAGGCAATCTCTGTATGAGGACTTCCTGATTTATTACTAGCTCTTAGTTTCCCAGCACAGAAAGAAGGAATGCACTTACACACTCAATAATACCAACAATACCCATCAGTTCAGCAGTTGCCCCCCTAAGTGTCCTGAGGCATTGCTTTCCTCCTCCAAATACAGTATCTTCCTTTTCAGAAGAAAGCTAATTTCTGAGAAGGGAACACTTTATTTTGTTTTGCCTAGGGTGTTGATTCCAATAAAAAGAATTAAAGCTTTATTTTAATTTGTAAAATATTAATTATAAATTATCGTTCTAAATTCCATCTGTGGAAATATGGAATCATGGACCCACACACAAGATGAGGATGAGCAGATTGTGAAGGTTGCAGTAGTGATGTTGTTACAGAATTTCCAAAAAAGTATATTAAGAATGTAACCAATTCTAATAAGCGAACACACATAAGTAACCAACTAAAACAAGATAAACTTGCTTTTAAAAACTCTAAAAATACTATCATCTTTCCACGTACAAGCTTCACAAACTAAGCTGAGGAGAGACAGATGAAAACACACATACACAAGCCAATTTACCAGGTAAATTCTTGAATACTTATGAGAATGCAAGAGAGTTCACAGAATACAAGTTACAGAAACCTAGCATTCTGAAAACAAGAATGGATGAGGTAAGGGCTGTCATGGCCTACAAGAAGCTGATTTTAGCACACCTAGCAAGCTGATGTATTTCTTTCATTTGGGATTTTCCATGCAGTTGTGTTTTCTTACTATCATATAGCCATGCATTCATTCATTTATCCAAAAAATACTGATCAAAAGCTGCTATGTTACTGGAGATATGCAAGTAAACAGAAATTCCTCCTCTCATGAGCCTGTATTTTAGAACAATCAGACAATACATCAGCAAACTATGGTACAGCATATAGTGACAAAGTCTAGCATGAAAAAAAAGGTAGGGATTATATAGATTTCATTTAGTCATACAAGGCCTCAGTGAGAAAGAAGGTAATATTTAAGCAAAGACCTATTTTATCCTATGCTCAAAAGAACTGCCACAGGCTTCCATACGAAGCAATCTTAATTTTGGATACTCCTGAGACAGTTCAATGTTTCAGCCACTGTCAAAAGTCAACAGAGAAAACACTTCTCTCACATATTTTCACAGCTGGGGGCTTCCAAGGGAATATTCTCTGGCGGGCTCTCCCTCCAGACGACTTTTGACCCCAAACCATCTGTCATTAACTACACATAAGTAGTTTAAAAAGGCCCAAAATACGGCTTGAAAATTTCAAAAAGTTAACACTGCTTAGGAAGCGGGGGGCGGGGGGGGGGGGCAAATATTTTCACTTTACCCAGCATGAGCTACATTAACCTGAATTTTTCCAACTTCAAGACCTTCCTTTTCTTGTTGTGTTGGCAAGAAATGCACACAGACCACAGTACAGGTTAGTAGAAAATTAGAAGCACCATCCAGTCAAAACTGGGCGCGGGAGCCGGGCGGGTAACACATGAAGGAACTTAATAGCTACACCCAATGCTTACAGAAAGATGCCGGATATTTTCAACCGTTAAGACTCCCCAAATTAGCATTTTAACAGGCCGAGCCTTAGAAAACATATTGTATAACGTCTGGAAATGGGCCCTATCTATTATAGGCGAAACAAGCACCAGGCAGGAATAATTCCTCAGAGAAACAGATCTTTTTAGCGCGCACGTGGATGGCTCTGAAAAGAGCCTTTGGGTATGTAATGGGTGAGTCCTTGAGACTCAAGCTCTCTCGCCGCGGATGCGACGCGCGAGCTGGATGTCCTTAGGCATGATAGTCACCCGCTTGGCGTGGATGGCGCACAGGTTGGTGTCCTCAAAGAGCCCCACCAGGTAGGCCTCGCAGGCCTCCTGCAGCGCCATCACCGCGGAGCTCTGGAAGCGCAGGTCGGTCTTGAAGTCCTGCGCGATCTCGCGCACCAGGCGCTGAAAAGGCAGCTTTCTGATCAGCAGCTCGGTGGACTTCTGGTAGCGGCGGATCTCGCGCAGGGCCACGGTGCCGGGCCGGTAGCGGTGCGGTTTCTTCACGCCGCCGGTGGCCGGGGCGCTCTTGCGGGCCGCCTTGGTGGCCAGCTGCTTGCGCGGCGCTTTGCCGCCGGTGGATTTGCGGGCCGTCTGCTTCGTCCGCGCCATGCCTTCAGAGCTGGGTGCACTTAAGGGGAAACAGAAAGCTAGCCGCTTATTTATAGTGAGAGTCTAAAGCTGATTGGACAAAAGTATGCTGAAGACCCACCCAACTGTAACCGGATTGGCCAAGGACTCGAATTTTTGTTGCTCACCAATTCCTGACAGTGGTAGCGGTTCATAGCCTCCGTATTATTTTATTTTATATTTTCGCTACAGTTGTTCGCTGTATGAGCGACTTCCAGTGGAGATAAATAAGAACATAAGTAATTCACATTTATATAGGAGCGACATTAGAACAAAACAAGGAAAAACTAATTTTAATATTTTGCTTAATGCAATATAGCCAACATATTTCAGTATGTAATCAATATAAAAACGGTTACGTATTTTACACTTTAGGGCACTGATTTTTCCAAATCCAATGTGATTTTACATAAAATTCAGCCTACGGGATTTCCAATGGTCACTATCCACAATTGGCTAGGGGATACAATACTGGACAGCACAACCATAGATACCTCTCCCCCCCCTCAATTTTCTATTATTTGACCGCTTAAAATTTTAAAACTTTTGCATTTTTTTAACCAAGAAAAGCTGATTAGCATGTGAGAAATTCAAGGTCTAAAAATGTCAAAGAAAACCTTTTGTGAAATTTTCACGTTCAGATTAAAGTAATTCCATTGCACCTTAACTGACTTTTAACACTCTAGAAACATAATTCATTTATCTTAAGTAATCTCCTCCATTCGTACATCCAGATCTGATTTATTTACAGCAGGTTCAAAACATCGAGTCAAAGACATTTTTAAAGTGTAATTCAGCATGCTAAAACAAATTAATGGTCATCTCTATACTAAACCAATTTGTGTAGCCGGGATTGAGAAAGCTCAAGAAATTTTAATTTCAATGAATTCCCAGAAAATACTTCAGAGAACTACCTGGCACCATAATTACCTGTTCCAATTAATCCAAGAACTATTCTCTCAACTCAATCATTAGAGTGCAACTCAATTATCCTGATTCCAGAGATGTTTCTCGGAAATAAAGAATCCAAGTCATTGATCTACATTTGGATTAAAGATTGAATGCTCCGTTTGCCATTTACCAAGACCCAGAAAACACTTGGCCTTAAACAGTCAGGTTTGATTCTCAGCAGACTAAAAATGGTGGGGTAATAGTAAAACCCGCCAGTGGGCCATACAGAACTCAACAAACTTGGATAAAATGTCAACTTTAAGATACAAGTCTTCTTGTATTAATCTTAAAATATTAAGACTTTAATGCTCTTAACATTATCCACGGTTTTTTAAAAGTTGACAATTGTCATTACCTAGCCGAGTCACCAAAGACTGACCTAAGTAACCGCTGGAGTGGTTTAGAAGTAGGCAAAAGACGAGAAATCACATTAAACAGTGCTCAGTTCTTTCACAAAAGTGTAGGTGGCTCTGAAAAGAGCCTTTGGTTCCGTTGGGATTAAGTTGCTGCAAACTAGTCCAGGCTTCTACTTGCCCTTGGCCTTGTGGTGGCTCTCGGTCTTCTTGGGCAGCAGCACGGCCTGGATGTTGGGCAGGACGCCGCCCTGCGCGATGGTGACCTTGCCCAGCAGCTTGTTGAGCTCCTCGTCGTTGCGGATGGCCAGCTGCAGGTGGCGCGGGATGATGCGGGTCTTCTTGTTGTCGCGGGCCGCGTTGCCCGCCAGCTCCAGGATCTCGGCGGTCAGGTACTCCAGCACCGCCGCCAGGTAGACCGGCGCGCCGGCCCCGACCCGCTCGGCGTAGTTGCCCTTGCGGAGCAGGCGGTGCACGCGGCCCACGGGGAACTGGAGACCAGCGCGAGAAGAGCGGGTCTTGGCCTTGGCGCGGGCTTTGCCGCCCTGCTTGCCGCGTCCGGACATGGCAGTAGCCCTGTAAGTACAGTCAGCAACGACTGGGAGAAAAACAGAAAACGCAAATTTTATAGCCTCTGCTGGGCGCGAAAAGGAAGCTGTGCCATTGGCCAACGTTTCATTTTTGTTTAGTCCAATGGGACTCAATTGCGCAGGATGCCTATTGTGATTGGGCAGAGCTGGCATCTGACGTCATCCGCGGATAACCACCAATCATCAGAGACCTTCCCCCACCTCTTCCGCATAAACCGTTACATAAAAAGAGGAGACCACGTTTTTGTTCTTCTCTTTGCCAGCGTTATCTCACCATGCCTGACCCGGCCAAGTCCGCTCCCGCCCCGAAGAAGGGCTCCAAGAAGGCGGTGACCAAGGCGCAGAAGAAGGACGGCAAGAAGCGCAAGCGCAGCCGCAAGGAGAGCTACTCCGTGTACGTGTACAAGGTGCTGAAGCAGGTCCACCCCGACACCGGCATCTCCTCCAAGGCCATGGGCATCATGAACTCCTTCGTCAACGACATCTTCGAGCGCATCGCGGGCGAGGCTTCCCGCCTGGCGCATTACAACAAGCGCTCGACCATCACCTCCAGGGAGATCCAGACGGCCGTGCGCCTGCTGCTGCCCGGGGAGCTGGCCAAGCACGCCGTGTCGGAGGGCACCAAGGCCGTCACCAAGTACACCAGCTCCAAGTGAGCCCTTTGCTGCAGAGTTATAGGTCCGTCCTGACCCACACCTCAAAGGCTCTTTTCAGAGCCGTCCACGTTTCTCAAGGAAGAGCTAGTTCACTGTTAGCTTGTCACTCCTTAGGTTCCCTTTGGGACTTGCTTCGTACATATATATGAGGATGTACATATATGTAAGTGTATATATATGTGTGTGTATATTATTGTTTTGAGGAGGACTCAACTTTGTTGCCCAGTCTGCAGTGCAATGGCACTATCTGGGCTCACTGCAACCTCCACCCCGCGGGTTCCAACCATTCTTATGCCTCAGCCTCCCCACTAGCTGGGACTACAGGTATGTGCCACCACGTCCGGCTAATTTTTGTATATTTAGCAGAGACGGGATTTCACCATGTTGTCCAAGGTGGTCTCGAACTCCTGACCTCAGGTGATCCATCTGCCTCGGCCTCTCAAAGTGTTGGAATCACCAGGTGTGAGCTACTGCACCTGGCCCGAAATATTTTAGAGGATTATTCTGAGCAAGTATGAGTGACCGTGGCTTAGGGGAGACACAACCTCCCCAGAAAGTGGTTCTGAGTCGGTCAGAATGAGCTGTTTTATACATTTTAGGGAAGCAGAACTTACAGGTAAAGTCATAAATCAGTATGTGGAGGGTTAGGCTGAGCGCGGCGGCTCACGCGTGTAGTTACAGCACTTTGGGAGGCCTAGGCAGGTGGATCACTGGATGAGTTTGAGACCAGCCTGGCCAACATAGTGAAACCTTGTCTGTACTAAAAATACAAAAATTAGCCGGGTATGGTGGCACTTGCCTGTAATACCAGCTTCTCCGGAGGCTGAGTCAGGAGAATCATGTGAACCCAGGAGGCAGAGGTTGCAGTGACTCAAGTCGTGATCGCCACTGCACTGCAGCCTGGCCCACAGAAATGTCTCAAAAGAAAAAAAAATCAGGTAAATCAAAGAAAATGATCTGGAAAAAAAATTGCTCTTAATATTACTGTGAAAACCTAGTGAGTGTTCTGTAGATGTGTTACAGTTAAGTTGCCAGAAATATTCTAATTATGTTTAAATAAATTTTTTAAATTGTAAGAAAACTCAGATACCTGGAAGGATTCAAAAGGCATCTGCACTCACCTTTTCAAGAAGCTTTGAATCCTCATGCTTCTTTAAAGAAGCCCAATTATTTTCTAACATGTTTGTTATTTATGCTAGCAATTTCAAATTTAGGACTCCAATCAATTATAATATTAGCAAAGACATATAAATGTTCATGGATTAAGTAAGAATAAAACATTCAAAGAGTAAGCACAATTTAAATAATTCCCAACTTTTAGTTTTGATTGCCTATTGAAACTGTAGAGGTTTGGTGAAAAATCAACTCACAAAAGGCAGATTAATAGAAGAAAAGGCATAGAAATTTATTAATGTGCATGGGGGAGAATCAGTGATTACTGCCCCCACCCCCAATCTCATGCAATAGAATATAGAGGATTACATATCCTTAGGGAAAAGGGAGATGGGGAAGTGTGGATTTTAGCAGGGTATTACATGATTTTTAGGGGAATTCAATAGGCTTGAATAACATATAATAGCCTGGGACAAAGTCTGTTTGGCCCACAGAGCAAACAATGGTTTGTGACAAAAGTTTGTTTTAGTGTGTTGACAGACTTCAGTCTTTCTTCTTGGGATATGAGTTTTCAGTTAATGAAAACTCAGAAAAGAGACCAGAGGTAATTGGTTTTTTTTGTTTTGGCAGGTCTACACTTTAGAGAGATAAGGGAATTTCAGAGAACAACATCTTGTGCTTTCAGATAGACAAAGAAATGAGCGACAGGAGTAGCAGGAAGGTTAGAAAGACCTTGAAGGTTCTTCTTCAGTTCAGTATGTCAAGGTTCCATATTTTGGGGTGCCAGTTTCTGAGCCACAATAATGCAGTCTCATTAGACAAAACATCTATTCTTGATACATCAATATCATGTTAGAAAAAAATTAAAGCTCAAAAGATTTTAAAAAACTTAGGCTGAGTGCTGCAATCCCAACACTTTGGGAGGCTGAGGCAGGAAGATTATGTGAGGACAGGAGTTCGAGACCAGTCTGGCTAACATGGTGAAACCCCATTTCTACAAAAATACAAAATTAGCTGGGTGTAATGGCGTGCACCTGTAATCCAGCTGCTTGGGAGGCTGAGGCAGGAGAATCGCTTGAACCCGGGAGCCAGAGGTTGCAGTAAGCTGAGATCACCTCACTGCATTCCAGCCCAGGTGAAAAAGCAAGACCTTGTCTCAAAAAAAAAAAAAAAATAGGAAAATACTTTCCAGAAATCTTCATAAAATTGTTTATTATTATTTTTGAGACAGGGTCTCACTCTGCTGCCCAGGCTGGACTGCAGTGGCACACTCATGGCTCACTGCACCTTGACCTCCCCTAGCTCAAGCAATCCTCCCAGCTCAGCCTCCTGGGTTGCTGGGACTACAGGCACAGGCCACCATGCCCGGTTAACTTTTGTATCTTTTTTGGTGGAGACGGTGTTTCACCATGTTGCTGAGGCTGTTCTCAAACTTCTGTGCTCATGTGGTCCTCCTGCCCTGGCCTTCCAAAACGTTGGGCTTACAGGTGTGGGCCACTGTACCCTGCCCTTATGTTTAATTTTAAATAGAACACAATGGAATTTTGGATTCTACACAATCTTTTTATGTATGTATAGTCATTTTATAAGAAATAAAATTAGTATTTTGGTTACAGATTACTTAACAAAACATTATTTAAAAGTTCTTTCTTGAGTTGTTTTACCCATACATAAATTAATTTTACTTTCCGCATATACCTGGAGTACTCTAACCCACTGCTATAGCATGGAGCTGTGTAAGCCAATATTGGAGGTGTTGACGACTATATCTCATTTTTACAAGTCATGTGGAGACTGGGTTTCATTCTTCTTTTTGCCCCCTACAGTGCCTAGATTAATGGTGACCCTACAAAATAAGATGAATGTGTACATATAATATAACATACATCTTTATGAGCGAACTATAAAATAATGATATAAAAATTTTTTAAAGGCTTACATTAATTAATTAGTTTATTTATTTATTTGAGACAGAGTCTAGCTCTGTCACCCAGGCTGGAGTGCAGTGCTATGATCTTGGCTCACTGGAACCTCTGCCTCCTGGGTTCAAGCAATTCTTCTGCCTCAGCCTCCCAAGGAGCTGAGATTACATACACCTGCCATCATGGGTGGCTAATTTTTTTGGGTTTTTAGTAGAGGTAGGATTTCACTACGTTGGCCAGGATGGTTTTGAAATCCTGACCTCAACGAACTGCCTGCCTCAGCTTCCCAAAGTGCTTGGATTACAGGCATGATTCCCTACGCTTGGCCAAAAAGCTTAAATTTAAATGAGGCTGAAATAGCACAGAGGCCTTTGGGGTTTTGGAAAAAAAGTAGAGGCTGTTCAATGCAATGGGTACGTTCAAGCTATGACTTGGAGGTTCATGTCATGGTTGGGTGGATTCTACTCCGGAATGCTATGCTTGTTAGCAACTTCACACTGAAATCCAAATGTCACAGCTGATTATTATTAAGCAAAGTTAAATTTTTTGAAAAGAAAAAAGTCTAGTTTTCTGCCTTTAGGCTTGTGAGTACTCTGAAGTATCTCAAAAAGACTAATTCCTACAAGAGATGGTTATGGACTTGAGTTTATTGTGAGACAATAAAAGTTACACTCAAAGGAGTTTTGAGTCTCACGTTCTGAATAAAAGCAGGCACACTAGGCAAGGCATAAGGGCAGATACTTAGGGTCTCCTTTTAGGGAAGGATTCTCTTTTTGGGTAGAGATTAACTTTTTTTGAGTGAAGGATGGCATGACACACCACCCCAAAATGTGCCACATTGACATAAAGATTATTTTGAGTTGAGGGCCCTCTGAGAAGAAGAAAATACAAGAAAACTGTCTGCCCTCTCCCTATGTGCCTAAAAGCAGGACATACATGTACAGAAGTGTCTCTCCTCACCTCTCTACCAGAAAAGACAAAAATTAATCACCAGAAACAACAACAAACTTTCATCAGCCTGGAGAGGGCACCAGAGCAATCAGCGTAACAACTTTACCAACCAGCCTTTATCTACCATTACTTTCCTATATATTTGTCTTCCCATAATTTTTTACTCCTAGAGACGCAAAATCCTTTGTCTTCTAATTTCTCTAAAAACTTATTGAACTTATTAGAGATGCTATATATAAACTGGAGTTCTAAGTCACATTTTTTAGTTACTCATTTCTGGGTATTCCCATATGTGACGGGCTGCACACATGTTAATAAACTTGTTTGTTTTTCACTTCTTAATGTGTCTTTTGTCACAAGAGCTCTAGCTGAGAACTCAGAAGTTCAGAGAGAAAATAATTTTTTTCCTCCCCTACATGAGGCTTCCAGGAAAATCAGATCTTTCTGACAAAATTAATGACAAATTTTGACAAACGTTCTACTCTCTTAGGTATCTTCTTGATTTTACAATGTTTTTCTTTCACATTTTAAATCTGTTTACTATGTCTTGATTTTAATTGTATGTATAAACATATTCTCTTTTTTGATATTGTGATGATGTTTGAAATGAGAAATGGAGAACAGGCCTTAAAAAGGGTCGTTTGATTATATTCTATTTTTATTTTAGCTATTAAGATATTCTTATAGCTGTTTAAAAGTTATATCAAAATATAAAATTCTAAGTAACCATTTATTCAAATATATTAGAAATTTGAAAAACATGAAAATTGTTAAGTACTTTATTTGGACTAATTCAAATAGCATAAATGTGAATTTAAATCTATATAAAAAGTTAAGTAATTGAATATCAATAAAATATTAATAAATAGTAAATATAAATTTTAAATATATGACTAGTGAGATCTTACTAAGCTAGTCTAGCCATTTTGCTCAATTATCTCCATTAATTCCTAAAGTATCCTGTGGAGTAACTGTTATTGTCTTTTTTTTTTTTTTTTGAGACGGAGTTTTACTCATGTTACCCAGGCTGGAGTGCAATGGCCCGATCTCGGCTCACCGCAACCTCCGCCTCCTGGGTTCAGGCAATTCTCCTGCCTCAGCCTCCTGAGTAGCTGGGATTACAGGCACGCACCACCATGCCCAGCTAATTTTTTGTATTTTTAGTAGAGACGGGGTTTCACCATGTTGACCAGGATGGTCTCGATTTCTTGACCTCGTGATCCACCCGCCTCGGCCTCCCAAAGTGCTGGGATTACAGGCTTGAGCCACCGCGCCGGGCCCACTATTGTCTTTACTCTCATTATAAAGATGAGGAAATTGGCCAGGCATGGTGGGTCATGCCTGTAATCCCAGCACTTTGGGAGGCCAAGGCATGCAGATCACCTGAGGTGGGGAGTTCAAGACCAGCCTGGAGAAACCCCGTCACTTCTGAAAATACAAAAAAAATTTGCTGGGAGTGGTGACACATGCCTATAATCCCAGCTACTTGGGAGGCTGAGGCAGGAGAATCTCTTGATTCTAGGAGGCGGAGGTTGCAGTGAGCAGAGATCGTGCCACTGTACTCTAGCCTGGTCAAGGAGAGCAAAACTTGGTCTCTAAATAAATAAATAAATACACACATACATAAAGGTGAGGAAATTAAGACATAACAAAAGTGTCTGCAGTGAAGCCACAATTTAAATCTAGGCTTGTTTGACTGTAGAGGCTGAGCTCCTCACTACTCTCCAAAGTAAATACCTACACGAAAACCCTGAAAAGCAACAAAATCACGTTTTAAATTGTGTCAGGATTTATTATACTTTTTTTTAAGAGTTAAAAGAATTTCAGTGTATCTATGCATGTAAAAAAAGTTAAATACACATGAAAAGGTGACTATTTCAATAGATAGATATCAAAAAATTAATAGGATAATCCTTGGATAGTGATTTATAGTTATTTTTCAGTTTGCCTAATCTGAATTTTAAATTTTTAACCAAGTACATAAATTGCTTTCTAGTTACTCGGACACCATTAAAGTTTTTAGGTTTCTTTCTCCCTTTCTTTCTCTCTCTCTCTTTCTTGTGATGGAGTCTTGCTCTGTTGCCCAGGCTGGAGTACAGGGGTGAGATCTCAGCTCACTGTAACTGCCACCTTCCCGGTTCAAGCAATTCTCCTTCAGCCTCTTGAGTAGCTGGTATTACAGGCATGCGACACCATGCCCAGTTAATTTTTTGTATTTTTAGTAAAGACAGGGTTTCACTATGTTGGCCAGGCTGGTCTTGAACTGCTGACTTTAAGTGATCTGCCCGACTTGACCTCCCTAAGTGCTGGGATTACAGGCTTGAGCTACTGCACCTGGCCTAAACAAGGTTATATTAAAGATGACAATTTATCACTTATAAACAAATCAATAAATCTTGCTGGGTAAAGAGTTCATTAACTCAAGATTTAATCAAGAAAACCAAAAGTAAATTCTGAATGTAACACAGAATTTAAAAAGCATAATACTCAGTGATGGTAAACATACCCAACAGTTACTACTGGCACAAGTGGATGGAATAAAACTTTTGAGGAAAATGTGGTAACACTCATCAAAATACCTTAAAATCTGCATCTTTTGTCACAAAGCATTTTGATTCTAAATTTTTCTCAATGTAAATTTCGAACAGTTCTCCTTTAAAATACAAAAAAAATAAAAATTAGAAAGCAGATTATTGCTAACTACTAGAAATTTTCTTAAAGTGGACCTAGAAAATTCTTATGATGGAATATTAAGCAGATATAAATGACTACTTTTAAAATTTTTCCTAAAGCAAATTTTCTAAACTTTTAACTGTGAACATAGATACGCTGTGGCAAACACTGACTAAATCATGGGTAGAATAGAATTTTGGTAATAGTTTCGAGTATGTGTACTGTTAAAGGTGGTACTTAATTAGCAAAGAAAAAATGAATTATTTAAAAAATCTCTGATTAATAAATTTCTAGGGAATTAACACTGCAGCAGGGAGAATTCATAAGAAATAATAAGCAGACATTAAAATCACTTTTTGCAAACTCTTTAGATAAGGAAAATTGATTAAAATAACAGCGTGAAGTGGTAAAATGCCATATACTCTACACATTTTGTGGGAAAAAAATATCTGCATTTATCTGCTCACCAAAATATCTTACTAGCTAGCAGCAGAGATCTTGTGTGATGGGAAAATGGGATGACAGGCTGTTGTTACTGTATTGGCTTTAGTTTTTTTTCCTTTTTTCCAAGAAACAGAGGGTATCCTAAGGTGCAGAGCTACCATGCTGGGTTAACGTTTTAATTCAATTTAAGTTTATCTTTGGTAGTGCTGGAGTGTCGCTATTTTGCCCACGCTGATCTTAAACTCCTTATTCCAGGTACACCCCGCCCCCCGCCTCCCAAAATGGCGGGATCACAGACCTCAGCCACCGAGCTCGGTCCCTCTTTTGTATTTCCCACAGTACTGATGTATTTCTTCTGCATTCAAAAAGCAATGTTTTAGAGCCTTATACCGTCGTAACAAAATACTTGGCACGTTACAAAATTCAGAACACGGAAACGAGAAGCTCGCTTTTCTTTCTCTATTTCGGTTCGGCCCTTTGGATCACCCCTCCCCCACCGGGGCGGGACTTCCCGCCTACTTCTTTCAGGTTCTCAGTTCGGTCCGCAACGGTCTTATAAAGGCGCTGCCTCGGGCCAGCGTCCTCACAGCGTCGTGCGAGTCTCGTCTCGTTCAGCATGTCTGGCCGCGGCAAAGGCGGGAAGGGGCTGGGGAAAGGCGGCGCCAAGCGCCACCGCAAGGTGCTGCGCGACAACATCCAGGGCATCACCAAGCCCGCCATCCGGCGCCTGGCTCGCCGCGGCGGCGTGAAGCGCATCTCCGGCCTTATCTACGAGGAGACCCGCGGGGTGCTCAAGGTGTTCCTGGAGAACGTGATCCGGGACGCCGTGACCTACACGGAGCACGCCAAGCGCAAGACGGTCACCGCCATGGACGTGGTGTACGCGCTCAAGCGCCAGGGCCGCACCCTCTACGGCTTTGGCGGCTGAGCGTTCTCGTTTATCCCCAAAAGGCCCTTTTCAGGGCCCCCACCCCCTCACCTGAGGAGCCGTGATACTCGTTAGTTTCTCCTTGCCGTTCGTTCGCCCAAGCAGTTTGCGCCGCGGCCGGAGCGTGCGTCCGTATCGGCTCAAGCGGGTGCCCGTCAGCGCGCTCCAGCAGAGGCTGCAGCTTGTTCGAATGCTCCGGAAGTTACCAACGCGAGGTGCTGGACTGTAGGGCTGCGTCGCCATTATGGTTCCCTGTAGCCTCCGGCTGGCTCGAACCTCGGGCGCGCCCCACGCGAGGCGAATTTTTCGGAGACCGGATCTCCCTGTGTTTCCCATTCTGGTTTCGAAACTATCCTGGCCCCAAATGATCCTCTTTCCTAGACCTAATGTTGACATTACAGGAGTGAGTAATGTACCCCTGGCCGGGATACTTGTGGGGTTTTAGAGTTAATTGCTTATTTTCAAAGGGGCACTTTCGCAGTATAGCTGGGGAGGAAAGAAGCGGTTGTCAGCTTTCTGGCGCCGTGAATCCAACTACTGTACACAGATGTTTGTAGCAAGGTCTTTTTAAGCAACAATCTTTAATCCGTGGGCCATAAATGAGTTTAACTTAACAGTTTTGGCCCCAATTCTTCAGAAAGGTGAGAATTTGAATCCTCGAATAGAATATGTAGTTTCTCGGTACAACAAAGGATGATCAAAACAGACTCTCTTACCCTTTGTCACTTAACGTGGGTCAGAGCTTTGCCGCTGAGAATTCCTCAGCTTTTGAGTGTTCTCTGAGTTGAAGTTGATAAGCTATTAAAAGTGAGATTCCTACTAACTAAACTTAAATGTCTCTAGGCTCAGTGATTGAGAAGTGCTAATAAATCATATTTGAGGTTATCCAACTCCAGAGATTAATTGGTTAGATTTAAAAAATATTAACTGGTTTAAGGAAAGAACCTGTTGGTATTTAAACAAAAAACTTTTTGATTCTTACTTGCTGTCACTTAGACAAATCTCTGGTCCACATGGCTGGATCTCTTTCGACTAGTTAAATTCTGTGCTACCCTGTGGAAAGGAACTGAGATTAATAACACAGTAGGGAAAACACAGGGAAAGATAAAAATTATAGCAAACCTATCCAGTCAGCCTGCAGCCATCCTCACAAGGATAGGGAGGGATATTGCCGGTCATTTACCACTCAGACTGTGAGTGCAAACTTAAAGGTATGATACTGTAGAAATAATGATGATGTCTCCATTTGCAAAATTTGTGTGGAAAAAATGCATTTGGCACGTATTTCTTATGGCTTCATAATAAACAAGAACTAATTACACAATGGCTGGTTGAATCTAGAGGACTGCAATGGGGTTGTTAGAAAAGGTTGCTCTCTGGGCCCCACCATGCCTGTAATCCCAGCACGTTGCAAGGCCAGGGCTTGCAGACAGTTTTAGGCCAGGAGGTGGAGACCAGCCTGGCCAACATGGTTGAAACCCAGTCTCTACGAAAAATAGAAAAATTAGCTGGGCATGGGAGTACACACCTGTAATTCTGGCTACTTGGGAGGCTGAGGCTGAGAATCGTTTGAAACCGGGAGGCGGAGGTTCCAATAAGCCAAGATCACGCCTCTGCCCTCCAACCTGAGTGACAGTCTTACCACCACGACCACCAACAACAAAATATTGCTGTTACCCACGGATGATGGTCAGATGCAATTGCAGGCCTAGCATAAATGAATAATGCTAAGTGTTTCACACTCTATGTACTATTGTCAGAAAGTGTTCTAAACGCTTTTTATTTACCAATACATTTACACTTGACTGGTTTTTTTGGTTTGTTTCCTTTTTGTGGAGAACAGGATCTCACTATATGGCTTAGGCAGGTCTCCAGCTCCTGGGTTCAAGCTATCCTTCCACCTCTGCCTCCCTAAAAACTGATTACAGGCGTGAGCCACTCATCCAGCCTGGCTAAACACATTTAATCCCTGCAACAACCCTTAGAGCAAGGTACTATCATCATCACATAATTGTTTACAAAAATAGAGACTCAGAAAGGATATGCACCTCAACCGAAGATCTCACAAAGATAATATGATTGTTACAGATTTGATTGCAAATAATCTGCTTATGATCTCGCTTAAACTTTTCACCATGTCACATTGCTTAGGTGGTGTAAAATTATAAAACAACATTTATGTCTTAACTTTTAAAATTTATTTTTGGCCCGGAGCAGTGGCTCACACCTGTAATCCCAGAACTTTGGGAGGGTGAGGCAGGCGGATCACAAGTTCAGGAGATCGAGACCATGCTGGTTAATACAGTGAAAACTGTCTCTATGAAAAATACACAAAATTAGCCAGGTGTGGTGTCTGGTGCCTGTAATCCCAGCTACTCAGGAGCTGAGGCAGGAGAATCGATTGGACCTGGGAGGCAGAGGTTGCAGTGAGCCGAGATTGCACCACAGCACTCCAGCCTGGGCAACAGAGCAAGACAATATCTCAAAGAAAAATCATTTATGTCCAGAAATTTTTATTTAGACTCAGCAGTTCTAGGTCTGACTTTTCAGGATTTAAAACCGTTTTTCATGTAAAATATAATTTTTTTTTTTGGCCTTAACAAAAATTCAAATAAAAACAGTATAATTAAAATTGCGCTGTAGTAATTACTTGGACTGCAAAGTTCTGTACATTGCTTAATCTGAATCAATGTGACTATTTATTGTCCTTCCAGATCTTTTGATATCCCCAATAACACACATCCATCATTTTCATCGTCATAAAATAACTGAGCCTCAACAAAAACAAAAATTAGCTTTGCTCACTAGATTCCATTGATAAATTTAAACTTATAAAACTATCTCAATAAATCAACCTAAGTGTCCAATGCCAGATGAATGGATAAAGAAAACGGCATATACACAATGGAATACTACTCGGCCTTAAAAAATAATCTTGTCATTTCTTACAACATAGATGAAACTGAAGACCACTATGCTAAGTAAAACAAACCAGGCACAGAAAAACAAATGTTGCATGATCTCACACAAGGAATCTAAAAATGTTGAACTCAGAGTAAAATGGTGGTTCCCAGAGAATGAGGATGGAGGTCCAATGGGACCCAGGAATTATAAATTCTGGAGGTCTATTGTAAAGCATGGTGACGCTAGTTCATGAACTGTATACTTGAAAACTGCAATGTTACCACCACAGAAAATTAGATGGATGTCAAGCTGGATTTAATCATTCCACGATCAATATGTCAGATCAGATTATACATGTTATAATTTGTCAGACCTTAATGAGGGTGGAGGAAAGTAAAATTCTCTTTAAATCCTTTAGGAGGCCAGGTGCAGTGGCTGATGCCTGTAATCCCAGCACTTTGGGAGGCCAAGGTGGGTGGATCACTTGAGGCTAGCAAACATGGCAAAACACCGCCTCTATTAAAATACAAAAAGTAGGTGGGTGTGGTGGTCCACCTTGTAATCCCAGGCACGTGGGAGGCTGAGGTTCAGGCATGAATATCACTTGAACCTGAGAGGCGGAGGCTGCAATGACCCGAAATCGTGCCAACTGCACTACAGCCTGGGTGAGCTAGACTGTCCCAAAAAAGACTTGGGTGCTTTTTAAAAGATATTTCCGATTACCAGACTTGCTACTGCTATAGCACATTCTGCGTGTATTTGCCCTCTTACAGACAAAACAGCCTTACAAACTTTTTAACCAAGGCATTTTATTTCGAGATGGAGTTTCGTTCCTGCTGCCCAGCCTGGTATAGTGGCGCGATTTCTGCTCACCTCTGCAACCTCGCCTCCCAAGTTCAAACGATTCTCCTGCCCCAGCCTCCCGAATGGTTGGGACTACAAACTCGGTACAACGACGAGCTAATTTTTTCTACTTTTAGCAGACGCAGGGTTTCACCGTGTTTGGCCAGGCTGGTCTCGAACTCCTGACCTTGTGATCTGCCTGCCTCGACCTCACAAAGTGCTGGGATTCTAAACTGAGCCACCGCGCCCGGAGCAAATGCTTAGAGCACATTGCAACTCCTCATTAGTGGCCACAGCTGAGTGGCCACACAAGCGCTGACATTAGACTAACCGCAAAACCAAATGTCCGCCCAACCAAACCCAGTGTTACCACTCCTTCGTTGACAAAGTAGGGGGCCCTGAAAAGGGCCTTTTGGGGATAAACGAGAACGCTCAGCCGCCAAAGCCGTAGAGGGTGCGGCCCTGGCGCTTGAGCGCGTACACCACGTCCATGGCGGTGACCGTCTTGCGCTTGGCGTGCTCCGTGTAGGTCACGGC